TTTTAAATGTGTCCAGTGTGGGAATTTTTTTGGCCTGACTATACATGTTTGTAATAGGGGTTTTACTTTTCTTGTTTTCTCAATGCAGGGGGGCAACAAAGAAGACAAGAAGGTGAGATGAAGATCTGAAAAGAAAAGAAAATTTAATTAGTTATATGAAAAAGAAAAAAAGAGTGACTAAGGAAATGGTACCCTTACTTTAGCAATATTTTAGGGGAAAGATAAACATAATTCTAGTCCAGTACCACCCTTGGAGATACATGGTGGAAGGAATAAACACTCAACCATGGCCCTTCTCCTGCTCCACTCAAGTGACAAATTGAACCCTTGGAGAGAGTTAATCCTGATACAAGTGACATCTATTATTGCCATATACAACCATATATCTGTTGTAAATGGTCACTCACATATCACATGTATTTAAACACTACTATATGAGCTATGACTTAGTCTTCAAATAGTTTATACACATGCTTCAAATCCAGGACTTCTAGTTTCCCATACTTTGCCTCAGGTGTTCCTCTCTAGGAGGTGAGTGAAAGGGGTTCATATAGTAAAACATAATTCTTAAATACTGATCCTCTCACAGTTTCCAAGAGTCACATAAAGTTAGTGTCCCTAGCTCTTAATGCCATTGTTTTTTGTTTATCATTATATTATAGGAAGGAATCTCTAATCCTCTTTCTACTACTTCTTGTTCACTGGCTGAGCTGTGTAGAATCCTCCCCACCACCACCCTCTAACTCTTACAGGCCTGATCATCAAGTGAGGTCAATAAGTATTTATTTATTAATTGCCTTCTTTGTGTGCCAGGTACTGTGCTAAGCAGTAGGCATACAAGGACAAAAGCAGTCCATGCCCTCAAGGAGTTCACAATCTAACGGGGGAGACAGCACCCAAATCACTAAATATAAACAAACGTGTATGTAGATATGTAGATATATATATATAATGTACATATATATATACAGACACAATATATATGTGTGTATATACACATACATACAGACATATGTATATGTGTACATATGCAGATAGACATATATATAGCTATAACACACACACACGTTGTGTATATGTTAATCTGAAAGGGAAGGCATTAACAATATGGAGGACAGGGAAAGACTTCATGATGAAGGTGGGATTTTAGCTGAGACTTGAAGGAGGACAAGAAAGCCAAAAGGCAGAGATGAGGATAAAGAGCATTCTTAGGGGGAAGCCAGTGAAAATTCTCAGAGGTGGGAGATGATGTGCTTTGTATAAGGAACAGCAAGTAGACCAGCATCATTGGAATAGTGTCATCACTAGTGGAGTATCCAGAGAAGGTCAAGGTCAAACGAAGACTAAGATTCTCCCTGCCCCAATAGCCATCTTAATTTCTCTCTATTCTTGTATTTGTCTTACCTGCCTAGGTCCTTGAATTTCTCTGTCTTTCCTCAACTTCATATTCAACATATCTTAAAATCATATTACTTTTCTGTCTCTTTGGCTAGTCTTGACAATTTGCCATTTCAGGTGGCATCAATCTGATGCCATCAGATAAAGCACAGATCTAACTTCTGTTACATTAGAAATTGTTTTGAGATATTTTTAACAAGCATTTATTAAGCACCTACTATGTGTTAGGCACTATGCTATAATGCTTTACAAATGTTATCTCATTTGATCTTCACAACAATCCTGAGAGATAGATGCTATTATTATCCCTGTTTTACAGATGGTTAAACTGACACAAAGAGAGGTTAAGTGGCTTGTCCAGGGTCATATATCTAGTAAGCATCTAAGGCCAAATTTGAATTCATGTTTTCCTGACTCTGGGCCCAGAGCTCTATCGACCACGCTCTCCAAATGGTCCATGGCATAAAACCAGTGATGAAAATTGTGCATGATAGCGGTCCTAAAAGATAAAATATTCAGGTTTGGAAAGAATCTCCTTAATCACTTAATCTAACCCTCTTATTCTATAGAAACTGAGACCCAGTGAGCTGTAGTGGCATGCCCAAGGTTGTACCAGCAATACATATGTGAACTGAGATTAAAACCTTTCTGCTTAAAAACCCAATGCTCAGCCAATGAGGAGAATGCCTTAAAAAGCAGAATTGGCCAAATAGAAAAGGAGGTACAGAAGCTCACTGAAGAAAATAATTCTTTAAAAAATTAGAATTGAGCAAATGGAAGCTAATGACTTTATGAGAAACCAAGAAACAATAAAACAAAACCAAAAGAATAAAAAAATAGAAGACATTGGAAAAACAACTGACCTGGAAAATAGATCCAGGAGAGATGATTTTAAAATTATTGGACTATCCAAAAGCCATGATCAAAAAAGAGCCTAGACATCATCTTTCAAAACTTCCCTGATATGCTAGAATCAGAGGGTAAAATGGAAATTGAAAGAATCTACCAATCACTTCCTGAAAGATATCCCAAAATGAAAACTCCCAGGAATATTTTAGCCAAATTCCAGAGTTCCCAGGTCGAGAATAAAATATTGCAAGCAGCGAGAAAGAAATCATTGAAATATCATGAAGCCACAGTCAGGATAACACAAGATAACACAACTTCTATATTAAAGGATCAGACAGCTTGGAATATAATATTCCCGAGGGCAAAGGAGCTAGGATTACAACCAAGAATCACCTACCCAGCAAAACTGAGTATAATCCTTCAGAAGGGGAAAATAGATATTAAATGAGATAGAGGACTTTCAAGCATTCTTGATGAAGAGACCAGAGCTGAATAGAAAATTTGACTTTCAAATACAAGACTCAAGAGAAGCATAAAAAGGTTAACAGCAAAGGGAAATCACAAGGGGCTTAATAAAATTAAACTGTTTACATTCCTACATGAGAAGACAATATTTGTAGCTCATAAAACTTTTCTGATTATTAGGGTAGTTAGAAGGAGTATATACATAGAGAGGGTACAGTTGTGAGTTGAATATGAAGGGATGATACCAAAAAATAAAATTAAGGGATGAAAGAAGAATGTGTTGGGGGAAAGAGAAAGGGAGAGATAAAATGGGGTACAGTATCTCATATAAAAGAGGCAAGAAAAAGCTTTTACAGTGGAGGGGAAGAGGGGGAGGTGACAGGGAGTGAATGAACCTTAATCTCAACAGAATTGGCTCAAAGAGGGACTAACATATATGTTCAATTGGGGGTATAGAAAGCTGTCTTACCCTATGGGACACTAGGAAGGGAAGGAGATAAAAGAAGTGGTAGTGGTGGAATTGATAGAAAGGAGGGTAGATTGAAGGAGGGGTAGTCAGAAGCAAAACATTTTTGAGGATGGACAGGGTGAAAGTAGAAAGAGAAGAGAATAAACAGGATAGGATGGGATGAAGGGAAATACAGTTAGCACTAATAACTGTGAAAAAAAATTTGGAGCAGGTTTCTCTGATGATCAGGTCTAGTTTCCCAAATGTATAGAAAACTGAGTCAAGTTTATAAAAATAAAAGCCATTCCGCAATTGATAAATGATCAAAAGATATGATCAGTTTTCAAATGAAGCAATCAAAGCTGTCTATAGCCATACAAAAAAATACTATTGATTGAAGAAATGCAAATTAAAACAATTCTGAGGTGTTGCCTCATACCTATTAGATTGGCTAATAGGATAGAAAAGATAAGTGACAAATGTTGGAGGGGATGTCACAAAAATGAGACATTAATGCATTGTTAGTGGAGTAAATTTGGAACTATGCCCAAAGGGCTATAAAAACCATCCATACCCTTTGACCTAGGTCTGTATCCCAAAAGAGATTGGGGAAAAAAAAAGGAAAAGGACCAATATGTACAAAAATATTTATAGTAGCTCTTTTCTGGGGGCAAAGAATTAGAAATTGAGGGGATGGGGATCAATTGAGGAATGGCTGAACAAATTCCAGTGTGTGATTATGATGGAATACTATTGTACTATAAGAAATGATGAGCAGGATGCTCTCAGAAAAGCCTGGACTTACATGAGCTGATGCATAATGAGTTGTACTGTGTAAAAAGTAACAGCAATATTATAAAATTATCAGCTGTGAATGACTTAGCTATTTTCAGCAATAAAATGATCCAAGACAACTCTAAAGGACTTATGATGAAAAATGCTATACATCCCCAGAGAAAGAACTGATGGTGTCTGAAAACAGATTGAAGCATAGTTTTTTTTACTTTATTTTTCTTGAGGTTTTTTTTTCCCTTCTGTTTTCTTTCACAACATAACTATTATGGAAATGTTTTGCATTTCTACACATGTATAAACTATTACATTGACTACTTGCCTTCTCAGTGAGGGGCAGTGGAAAGGGAGGAAGGGAGAGAATTTGAAACTCAAAGTTTTAAAAACAAATGTTAATTTTTTAACATGTAACTGGGGGAAAATAAAATTTTAAAAGTGCTCTTTTCTACTATGCCCTTCTATGTCTTACTATGTCCAGTGGCATATATGACCACAAAAATTAAAAGGGGGCTAGAGTCAAGTGAGGGATAAAGGACTGCATGAGTTTTGCACAGTGAAATAATAAATCAACCGAAGGAAGGGTTCAACATGGGTTAGATTAGATAGAGACTGAGCTGCCAATCACATAGAAGGACATGCCATGGGAGGTGGGGCGGGTCGTAATCCACATCAGAGGAGAGAAAACCAACACCAATGAGACCAAGGATCCAAGAAACATTTCAAGTAAAACATAGTAGTAACACAAAATTGGCTTAAAATGAACTCTTATGTCAATTACAGTTTTTGCCATTCACTTAGATGTATTACTCATTTCAGGGATAGAATTTAATGGGCATTCTGTGACCTTAGTCCAATTCAGAATAAACTAGTGTCCATGAGAGTACCAGCATCATCTGAGCTCCCAAGAAGTCCTTCTAATATCATATTTGTTTTTTCTAATGGTGTCTAAGAATTCCAGACTCAAAGTCTTTCTCATCAGCCCTTAACATCAACTAAACGTGTGATTTGTACAATCAATTTATTAAACACTCCACTGAGAAAAAAAAAATGGATTTTACATGGTTTTATTACTTCACAATTTGACAGCATTTACTTCTCATCAATGAGAGGTCTAGATCTGGTTCACATCATTTTTGATGGACTGGGTATAAGTTAAAGGGCGCAGAGACTGACTCCAAAAACTTCTTTGATGAACTCCATATTTTCTCTGGATTTGAAAACTTTGCTACCAAGGGAGTTCTAAACTTACTCTGTCCAGAGATATTTTTGGGGATATTCCAGCGAATGGTCTTGGATTTGTTCCCTGGAGTATCTGCTGGTGTGCAGGCATAAAAAAAATGTTGAGTGTTTTTTCTCTTAAAATGAAAATAGTCATTTTCCTGCTGATGGTTTAAAACTGATTGAGATGCATCTAAACCAGAGTCATATTCTTCCTCTTGCATTTTCTGCTTCTCTTCATTCTCTGTAAAATTGCAAGAATGGTCAAGTTTCATAGTGTTCTCTTTGGGCAGATCAGCATTGAGCTTCTCTCCAGCTTTATTTTCCAGACTCAGAATAATTTTCCCATCACTTGTTTCCAGGCCTAGTTTGAGTCTTGAGTCAGTTGCAGAAGCCAAGGGATTGCTTACTTGACTCCATGTCTTCCTTGAAAGCTTTTCTTCTCTGGGTAATGAATATGGCATGGATTGAGTTTCTAATGAACTGTCAGACATCCAGTGAGGAGAATGAATTTTAGGGTGCAATTTCTTTTTTCCATGTTGATCAGCTGTATAGTAAGGTGGTGTTATAAGGGAGTTCTGGTTTCCAGAAGGTTGAATACTTTGGGGAATTAAATCTCCCTTCTGGTAAACTGGCTTTGTTTTGGTCCTGACTTGGTTTGTCTCACTGAGTTTTTCCAAAGGATTGAAGTCCTCTAACTTAAATGGAATGTCAAAAAACATTTCCTTCTGACCCTGCCTTAAAGGACCACCATCTGATAAAGGCACATTTTCCCAGGATTTTTTAAAGGTCCTGAAGATCACATTTGGTGTCTGGAAAGGCATTTCCATTTCCATTTCCACACTTTTCTTGGGGGGAGGTGAAGAGTTCTTTAATGCCACAGATCTCTGGGAAGATATTTCCCTTTCCACTCTTTTGTCTGGAGAAGGTGGAGATTTCAATTCCTCAGATTTCTGGGAAGACATTTCCCTCTCCACTCTTTTCTTGGGGGGAGCTGAAGAGTTCTTTAATTCCACAGATCTCTGGGAAGACATTTCCCTTTCCACTCTTTTCTTGGGGAGAGCTGAAGAGTTCTTTAATTCCACAGATCTTTGGGAAGACATTTCCCTTTCCACTACTTTGTTAGGGGGAGGTGGAGAATTGTTTAATTTGACAGACCTCTGAGAAGACATTTCCATTTCCACTCTTTCGTAAGGGGGAGGTGGAGAGTTGTTCGATTCGACAGATCTCTGGACATTTTCCTGACTTTGAAAGGAAACTTCAGAATTCTGATACGAGGCTTTTAAGCTACTACTATCAGTGTTTGCATTAACTTCCTCCTTAGCTTGAAATATGTCATAAATCTCAGGTGAAGATGCATGTTCGCCCCGGATTTCAAAGAAATTAGGAGCATTTTCAGTCTTCTGAAGTGATGTTTCATGTAAATTTAACACTATGTCAATGTTTGTCTTCTTAGGTGAAGTAGGTGATGTATGTTTGCTTTTCTGAGACTCAGGACAAATTTCCCCTTTCTGAAGGCAAGACATTTTTGAGTCCTCAGAGATATCAGTATTTTCTTGTGCATCTTTTAGAGGATCAGGCACAGTTTTAGTTAACTTTGGAGATATTTTGAAAGGGAATTTCTCTTCTCCTAGAGACCAATGAGGTTTTCTCAAGGAAGGCTCACCACTATCTTTCTGTGTTAAACATTGAGAATCAAGCACAATGCTGGAGCAATTTGGAGAAAGAGTTTTTTTCAAAATTGTCCTGTCATCCATTGCCATAGGAATGTTTTCAGAAGGAGAAACAGGTAGTATAACTAACTCAGGTAATTTTATAATTTCTGAAAGGATTTTATATGAGTTCTGCTTTTTCAAAGAGATGTGTTGTTCTAATTTCTCCATATCAATGGAAAAGGAAACTTGGTTTCCAACCTCATTTACAATATTATATTTTTTATTAAGCTTAGGTCTAGGCAGATACTTGGGCGATATAGTCAGCTCAGGGGGCAGTGTCTCAACAGGAAGCCTGAAGAGAAACATAAGACATTTGTGTTGTAAATTAAGAATTATTTGATGAAGAAACTTGGATTCCATGAATGGCAATTTTGTGCTTCTTGGCTTTGTGACTTTGTTAGTAGGATAAGCTGATTCTAATCGAGGTTTTCTTTGGACCTGATTTTCTACCATTTTAATGGATTCTTCCACTACTTTAGGAATCATGTTCATTTTGACTTCCAGTGATTTCACTAAAAAATATGTAACGAGCTTTTTTAAATCATTGGCTGTGAATCTCTGGAAAACTAGAGGCAGTGATCCTCCCTTATTTCCAGCAGCCATATATGAAGCCTTTTGACTTAGCCTTAACTGCATATTGACCTCCACAGCTTGTTTAATGTTTTCATTGACATAATCTGTGACATTTAATTTGTTAACAATCACTGCTTTCATACTGCTGACAGGGCATAATTCTTTTGTTGTGTTCTCATATTTAATTAATTTTGAGGCAATTCCACCCTTCTTCTCAGCTGCCATTTTTCTCAGATGGCATGGCAAACTCTTCCTCGTTTCACCCTCAATGATGACTCTTTTCACAGTGTTTCCTTCTTCTGGATGAAATATGTTTTCTGGAGGACAAGGGATGAAGCTTTGGGGAAGAAGACTCACGATTGAATTTGAAAAACCAAGTTTCTGTTTTTCATAGATGTGTGATTCTAATTTCTCTCTAACTCCTCTTTTAATTACTAACACATTTTTTTCGATGTATTTAGCTTTATGTTTCTGGTAGATCATTGAAGGGATTGGAGTTACAGCCTTTGGGATGATTTCTTTTAATGAGCTCTGGCTATTAAAAGGGAGTCCAAAAAGAAACATCAGGTATTTGTGTTTTAAGTTCATCTCTAGGGAATCAACCTCTTCCTGAGACATAAAGTTTAATTTCCTACATCTTGGAAATACTCGCCTATCACTGTGAGCTTCCTTTGAAATACATGGCTTGATGAGAGAAGGTGATTTTTGGTAAGATTCAATAACTATTGTATGGATACTTCCCTGTTTTAATTCTAGTCTCTTTTTTTGGAAATGAAAAATAAGATCTGTTTTTTCATTAGCAGTGAGCCTATCAAGAACAGAGATAGAGCATAATTGTGATTTGAAGTACTCAGCTTCTACAGTGTCTCTGGCCTTTGGAAAAGCTTTCTTTCTCCCACCACGGTGTGTGGAGACCTCGACTTCTTTTGTTACATCTGCCACAATTTGTTCTTGACCCTCTTTCACTAGAAATGTATCCTTCTGTGGAAGCTTCTCCGTTTTTCTATCAATTTCCCAGTTCTTCTCAAAAGGAATTTTTATGTGAGTCTGGAGGCCACTTTGCATTTCTCCACAGACTGTAGGAGGAAATGCTGAATTTTTCATGACCAAAGCTAATTGTGATATTCTCTTTTGAAATGGACCTCTAGACAGCATAACACCCCCAGTTTTTATGTAAGACTCAAGGGATTTTTTGGTTTCTGCAGAAATTGGAAGAGAAAACAATGATTTTTTCAAATCCAATACTACTTCTACAGATTTCTTTTTAATGTGGCATGGACTATGTGTGGAGGCATCTATGGAATTTGAAACAGCTTCGGTGATATGAGACTCTGAGGCCTGAATGATTTTATCACAAATTGGAGGACGTACTGTTTTTTTCACATCTTCTAGAATTTGTACTGATTTCTTTTTATCTTTAAGGGGAAGGGGAAAAGAGATGTCTGAAGGTTCCAAAACAATGGAAGTCTCAATACACTTTTGCATTTCTTCACCAACTGAAGAACACACTAAATCGCTCATGTCTGCTATTGCTTGTACAGTTTTCATTTTCCTAGAATTTTGATTGGGTGTAGAAGTAAATATAGATTCCAAAATACTTTTTTTGGTTTTGTGGGACCCTAGGGATCTCTTGACATTTTCTTCATAATTTAAAGACAATGAATTTGGTTCAACTGAAGGTGAGCTGCAAAAATACACATCACTAGACTCTGAAGTGTCATCAGGCGGCTTTTGAATTTCTTCACAAACCAGAGAAGCCACTGTCTCTTTTATGTCTTCCACTGGATGGACTATTGCAGTTGAGCATGGACAAGGCATCGTGGTAATGTTCGATTCTGAAAAGTCTTCAGCTTTTAGCGGAGTCTCAAGATGTAATTTGATTTCCTCACAAAGTGGAGCGCAACACGTTGAATTGTCAACATCTGCTACTATTTCTACTGTGGGTGTATCTGACTTTACTAGATTTGAAACAATTTCACTCACTCCACAAGATTCAGACCTTTTGATTTCTGGAGAAGGACTTATATCTGTAATGTCTGCCACTATTTGTACTTGCGTAGCATTTGGATATAGACTGGGCATGATGGCATTGATACATTTTGAATCAACTCCAGTTTCTACTTTGGATTCAGACTGTTTGGTTTCTTCACAAATTAGAGGTATACACACAGAATTGTTCTTGTCTTCCATTATTTTTACATATTTGATTTTAATTTGAGAGGGACTGGGAACCGTGCTACAGATAGATTGTAAAATGTCTGTTGCTTTTATGTGGCTCTCAAGTGATTTTTTGATTTCTTCACAACTTGAAGGATATGTTGATTTTTTTGAGTCTTCCAAGATTTCTTCTGATGTTTGTTCAAGTGGAAGCATACAAGACTTAATGATACTCCCAGATTTTGAAATAGTTAGTGGTAAACATTTTTGATCCTGCTGCCCCTCCTGGTTTGTAGTGAACCATTCTTGATGATTTGCATAGTTTCCCTGCATCACAGAATCTCTTGGGCCATCACATTCCACCAATTGTGCCTTAATTAGTGATATCTCTTCTTGGGCTGGTACAATTTGGAGATTGGCAACCCTTTCCGAGTCAAGAAGAGGTTCACACTTGACTTCAATTAGTGATGTCTCTTCTCCTTGAGATTGATCTTGTATTATTCTTTCCATGTCTTCTCCTAAATGATCACTTTTTTTCTGTTTTTCACTTTGAAGTGGGGACTTGACAGGGGCAAAAATAGAACAGAGAAAAGATTTTAATACTACTTTTGGCTGCAGGATCTTCTGCCTTGAAATAAAAAATTTAAGTTTTTTTCCAGATCTGGAACAGTCATACACAGGCACGTCAGTCTTATTTGGTATTTTCTGTCCCAGTGAATTTGATATTTTAAAAGTCTCTGGGTCAGTGGCATCATTTATTGTCTTTGCTTTCTCAGGTTGAAATAAGAACTTCTTAGGGAAAGAAACAGAATTCAAAACAGTTTGAGGTACATACTTGGATTGCCGGGCATCTCGCTGTAGAGAAAGAAATTCTATCTTATTTGCACATGAGAGGTAACTGTTTTCTTTATTGTTCACAGTTAATCCTGATCTAATCATACCATAGTTTTTACCATGTTGCATTTTGCTATCTGAGTACTCTAAACTGAGTGTAGAGGTATCTGTTGATTCTTTAAATTTACCTTTATTTTCCACTGGTCGAGGTGTCTTCTCAAGTGGCTGTGCATATGATATTTTCTCTGGTGATTTTTTGTTCTGTACCTGAAGAGGAGACTTGATTTTTGTAGCTCTTAGCATATCTCTCTTTGCTCTTACTCTACTATGACCAAAAGATGATCTGGGCACAGAAACCTGTCTAGCTTTTAGGGCTGAATCTGGTGAGACATTACATGGCTTCACTGCACAAGTACTGTGTGATTTTGCAATGTTACATTCCAGTTTCCTTCTATTGGCTAATGTACCATAGCCTAGGATATTAAGCAGCTGTGAAAATGATGTTTTCTTTGCCTTGAGACTCATAACTCTGGGACCCATTGTATTTTTCAAGTCTGTTGGACATATTCCATTTTTGTGCTTTGTTTGAGGTGAAACAGGTACACAAGTGCTAAGCACTGTTGAATATTTTTGGAGCTCTTCCTTTGGATTTAATATGTTTAGGTTCTCCATAATATTTAATATTTGTGGATTTATTGTTTTGTCTCTTGTCACAGATAAAATTGGTGGACTTTTATCTAACAAGTTAGTAGTGAACTGTTCCTGCTTCTCATAATAAGCACTTTGGAACTTGGACAAACCTCGGACTTTTACTGAAGTTTGGATATTAATATTGTTTTGGATCTGGTTGCAATCTTGGGCCTGGCCTGGGACTTCATTCTGAACTGAAATTTCAGATTGTGATAAACCTTGAGGATGCATGAAAATGTTGGACCTGATATCATCTGGGCAGTGAAATAATGACTCTTGGAGCATTTTCTCTCTTTTACAAGAAGTTTCTTCTGATGGGTACAGTGGTGCTTGATTCAATTTAGCAAAGTTTGAGCTTTGATAAGTAGTTTTAATCTTTATCACAGGCTGAGATTTTGCAGGGATTTGATTTCTCAAATTCTCTTCTAGAAGCCTAATTTGGTTTCTGGGAAGATATACATGAGCTGAAGGGCATGGTGTCAAATCTAGGTCTTCATTTTCTAATGTTATCTTGGATTTTTCGCAAAAAATTATGATCTGAAGAAAACCGTACATTCTTATTTTTATTTGCACACATTTTCCTCATTGGTAGTAATTTTCTTGATGAAAATGGTAGTGTTTCAAACATAAGATGAGAAAATCTTCTGTGGTTGGGAGGAGGCTGCCTGTGTACTGAATTTACAAATGAAGAAGACGAGATAGCCTCACTTGAAAATGACAGCCGACTTCCACTGCCACTAGGCCAACTTAATTGGCTTTCATTATCACTAGTACCAGACCATGTTTCACATGAAGTTGCAAGCATCTCATTAATGATGTCTTCTGTATTCTGGGGGTCAAGTGAAAACAGAAACTGACTCCTTGATAAAGCTCCAAGTCTATAAGAAAACACAGAATGTGTACAAAGAGTCAAGCTTAGCACATATTTCTTTCTAATCCAGGTATGTCCTGATTAAGAAAAGAAAAAGAAAATGCAAATTTAAAAAATAACTAAAGCAAGGAGCTAAGCTACATTACTACTCATTCAACAAACCAGTTGACTAGGTGAAAGGAATTACTTTTATAAATTTTCAAGAATTTATTTTCCCCTACCAAGGTAGTAAGGTCTTTAAAAAAAGAGAGAATTAGAGCTTTCTTCCTTCAAAAACTATAGGACTTAAGACTTAGAATGGTAAAAAAGCAAAGTGTAGTAAAATGAAATTAGAGTTTGAGTTTTGACTTAGTTTTAATTTACATCACAGGTTCTCCATAATACTTTATATGTGTACATATACTTTGTCTCTTGCCAGAGATAAAATTGGTGAAGCTGGAAGGACCTTTGTCCTAAAAGAACTGCCTGAACCTGAGAATATCCTGCTGAGAATATTCCCAGATGGGAAATTTCAGAGCCAATACTACAGAAATAAAGTAGGATAATCTGAATGGAGATTTTTCTTTTCTTTTCTTTTTTCTTTTTCTTCTTCTTTTTTTTTTTTTGTTGACCTTAGGCCAAATTATCTGCCTTTTCAAAAAGGGCTGAAAACTACATGGTGGGGCCTGGTTCTTCTTGAGGAAAGGACCAGAAAGCTAGAGACAGTGGTAACTATAGTCAAAGCCTGGCAGAAACTACAAATATAGGTGATCAGTGTTCATAAGAGATTACAAGATTACAAGCAGCCTGGGGATCTAGAAGGGGCCTTAGAGACTCTCTCATTTGCTGAGGAAATTGATGCTCAGAAAGGAAAAATGAGGGGCAGCTAGGTGGCGCAGTGGATAGAGCACTGGCCCTGAAAAAAAAAAAAGGAAGGAATAATGATTTGCTTAGGGTCACAAAGGTAGTGAATGCAGAGGCATGATTTCAACTAGAATCTTCCTAACTTCAAATGCAGCTTTCAATCCAAAAGAGTTAGCATGGCACAGCATACCAGAGCATTGCATTTAGAGGCATAGGTGGTGGCAGTTGCTGCTGTTGAGTGGTTTCAGTCATGCCCAACTCTTCATGACCCCATTTGGGCTTTTCTTGGCAAATATATGAGTGTGGTTTCTCCAAGCTCATTTAACAGATGAGGCAACTGAGGCACAGTCATGTGACTTGCCCAGAGTCACACAGCTAGTAAGTGTCTGAGGCCAGATTTGAGCTCAGGTCTTCCTAACTCCTGGCCTGGTGCTCTATTCACTGCTCCAGAGGACACAGGCTCAACTCCACACTTTGCTACAGGAAAGCTAAATGTTTTCCCAGAGTTACACAACTAGCAAGTCAAAGAGCTGATAATTAATCCTAATTCTCCTGATTCTAAATTCAGTGTATTTCTTTCTACACCAGGTGAACAAACAGTTGATATGTCAAATACTAATCATTCACTAAAACAAGATCCTTAAGGATCTCTCAGAGCCACCAACGGAAAGAATGAATGAATGCTAGACTACTAGACTAGTTTCAGTTATTGCATAAAGCAGAAAATAACACAATGCACTTTCTTTCATAATGTTTTATTTGAACTTCTCACTAGTTCAAGTTGGCCTCTGCCTCCAATTAATTTATGATTTAATGATTTCATCTTAGGTCCTGCAGATTTCAGAAATAATACAAATGACAGATCTCTCAGCACAGGGAATTACATATAAATGTTTTAGATAATTTTTTTTAAGTCCTAAACATAAGATCTGTGGGTAGCAGGTAGTTTTTTAACTCCACTAACCATGAGGTGAAATAATAATGATAATGATAGCATTTATATAGCAATTTAAGGTTTATGAAGTAATGAGGAACTTTATCATTATTATTAAAGATGCAGTGCCTTGATCCAAATCAGCCCAAATCAGCCCTCACTGAATGTATGTCTGATGAATGTTAGGTGGGCATGTGTAGCATCCCAAAAAATTGAATGACCTCAGCAAGTTAAAGCACTGGGCAAATATAAATGGATTAAAATTCAACCAGGACAAGTGTAGAACAACCTATTTAGAGAAGAACAGATTACACAAATGTAGGAGAAGTAACATTATATAGTATTGAACTTAGATTCAGAAGAGACCTAGATTCAAATCCTCCCTCTGATATTTATTAGCTGAAAGACTGTCGACTAGTTAAAAACTCTCTTTCAACCTCAGTTTTCTGATCTGTAAAATGCAGACAATAATAATTATTATTATTATATATTTTATATAACATGATATAATATTATATCATGCATATGTGTTATATATTTAATAATAAATAATAATAATAACCCATATTTCTTTTTATCACAAAGTTGTGAGGATCTTATGAGAAAATGTAGGTTAAGCAGTTTACAGATCTTGAGAGTGCTATGTAAAAGTGCCATTTGTTAGAAGATAGAGATACTTGTATAAGTTCTCCATAAGGATATGAATTCAGAAATGCCATGCTATAACTATAAAAGAAGCATGATTGTAGGCAACATGATCAGGCTTTGAGAGTCTCCTGAGTTTGTTACTCTGTTCTCAAAATCTGGGAAGGTAGTGAGGACTGTCCTATATACCTTCACTTTTTGGAGAGGCCAAGTTTACTGCCTGAATATTAGGAACCTAATAGCTAGACTCCTTCCACCAAGAGTATTAATGCCATATCCCCAGAGTCCTAGAAACCCATCCAAGGAGAAGTCCAGGAAGCAAATAAAGCATAGAACACAGAATCACCTGGAGAGATGGGCCTAACACAGAGACTCTTAATCTGAGGTCCACAGAAACCCAAGAATTCTGTAGATAGATTTCAGGGCATCTGTAAAAACTTGAATGGAGAAAAAATACATCTTTATTTTCACTAATCACTAACCAAAAGTTAGCATTTCTTTCAATTATAAACATAGGCAACAAACATTATTCTGAGAAGTCTGGGTCCACTAAGTTGCCAAAAAAGGAGCCAATGAAAATGAAAAGAAGATTAAATGTGGGGTGGTCAGAGACTAAGAAGACAGCCTCTTGGCTACTGACATGGCCTTTTGAAGGCCCTCAGTGGTTCTTCCAATCCCATTCTTCCTGTTGTTTGAAGGCCCAAGTGGTTAAGGTCCAACAGCTAGATTGACTTCCAGTTGCCTTTCTGAGGAGATAGAGAGACACTTCATTCTGACCCATAACAAAGAACTGGTTGGTAAAGTAGCAGTAATGGGAAACAAGAAAAGTGATCATGCCCTCTTAGAATTGATAGTAGCAAAGAAAAGTCACGCGGAGCATGGTCAAATATGCACCCCAAACTTTCAAGAGCGTATTTCAAAATGTTTAGGGAAAAGATAGCCATTATTTCATGTGATATATCTGAACCTTTCTAGAAAACAAAATTCTGACAATATAGTCACAAATAATAATAAAGAAGAAGGGCAGCTAGGTAGCACAGTGGATAGAGCTCTGGCCTTGGAGTCAGGAGGACCTGAGTGCAAATCTAGCCTCAGACATTTGATACTTACCAGCTGTGTGACCCTGGGCAAGTCACTTAACCCTGATTGCCTAAACAAAACAAATAATAATAATAATAATAATAATAACAAAAAAGAAAAAGGGAGCCATTTTAAGAAGCCAAAGTGTTCATTTCATCTAGACAACATTAAGAACAATGATACCAAAAAAAATCAATAAGACAAATCAAAGTTCACATGTATAAAATTAAATAAAAATAGCCTGAATTCACCAATTAAAAATTAAAGAGTTAAAAATGTATTTTAAAAGCATAGGTGACACAGTGGATATAACACCAGCCTTGGAGTCAGGAGGACCTGAGTTAAAATCTGGCCTCAGACACATAACACTCACTAGCTGTGTGACTCTGGGCAAGGCACTTAACCCTGATTGCCTAAACAAAACAAACAAACAAAAAAATAAGAATAAGAATAATAACAAAAAAGAAAAATGAAGCCATCTAAGAAGCCAAAGTGTTCATTTTATCTAGACAACATTAAGAACAAAAATACAAAAAAAACCCAATAAGACAAATCAAATTTCATAAGTATAAAATTAAATAAAAATAGCCTGAATTCACCAATTAAAAATTAAAGAGTTAAAAATGTATTTTAAAAGCATAGGTGACACAGTGGATATAACACCAGCCTTGGAGTCAGGAGGACCTGAGTTAAAATCTGGCCTCAGACACATAACACTCACTAGCTGTGTGACTCTGGGCAAGGCACTTAACTCCAATTGCCTCACCAAAAAAAAAAAAAAATCCAGGAAATTTGTCTGACCACAAAGGAAATTGCACCCCTAGAGAAGGTTTGATGTGCCCTGCATAGAAAGGGACACCTGAAAATTCTGCCCAGACTCTCATTAAGTTGACTCAGTACAGTAAGGGTATGGAAGAGTTTTCACACAGACACTTTGGTTTCTCACCCAAAGAAGAGAGAATGATTTCTAGATGGCCCCAGTTCCTAAATACCTATGGGAAGAGTTCTGGGTTATCTAGAAAGATTGACAGGCAACAGGTTTCCTTCTGAAATGGAAAACTGGGGGTTTTTATTTGCCTTTTTCTTCATTGCCTTTGGGCAAGACCATTTCCAGGTTGAGCCAGCCCCTTGGTAAGTACTCAGCAAGCAACTTTGGTCAATTTTGTAAAATATTTTTTACTTGTTGAATCTGTGTAACTCAGTACGTGGAGACAATTGCAATGTTTTGCCTAAACATGTAAGATTATGTAAAATCTATGCCACACTGACTGCTTCCTATATAGCATTTGGAAAGCAAGAGAAAGGACAATGCTTATGCCTCCCCAGGACTTCAAAGGATTGTTCTGGATTGGGAATAGGAACATTGCGTGCCAAATGCACTTCAGTCAATTGACCAAAGATGACAGATTTTATAAAGGAGGAGAGTGTATGGGGGAACTGGCCAGTGAGGACCCAGTCCTGGCAGCATGCACTTTTGGTAAGCCTGCTTCTGGTAAGCTTTCCCCATAGATCCCATGCTCAGGGGAAATCTCTTGTTCACCATTCAAGTTCGTCTTCTCCCTCTTCCTTCACACTCTCAGTCTCTGTTTCTTTCTTCTCTGATGAAGACTCTTAGATAATCAAGAGCAATCTCCTCCTCTGCATCACAGGGATGTCCAGAAAACTGCAAAACCCACAAAATGGGGCTGCTCTCCACTCCAAAACATCTTCAGATGTTGCACAACTGTTTTCTGTCTGCTTATTACATGATGAAAAAAAGCCTTTGAGCTGGCTGCTGAGCTGGAACTGAGTACGCATACAAAGGGCTCCAAAGTAGAAATGTCCAGCTGGCTATCAGGTATAAGGATTGCTCTCTGAGTTCCTGATTTTTAGGAATGGTGAGGGCTGGACAAGGTGCTGAGCTTCTTAAGAAAGAGCAAACAGTGACCTGGATAATTTTGCTTTGTTTTGCTTGACTATGCATATTTGTTACAAGGGGGTTTTTTTCTTCCTGTTTCTTTTTTTCAATTTTTCAAAGGAAAAATAGAAGGGAAAGAACGTATATGTTTTGAACTGAAAAAATTAATTAAAAAAAATCAAAGAGTAACTTGGACTGTTGACAGCAAAAAGAATCTGGAAAGGGCAACAGAATCAGATGATGTGAACTCCACAGAAGAGGTCTCTTTCTGAGTGACAGTGTAATGCAAAACATTATTTTGCCATTTAGGTAGTAGGGCCCTTTAAGCCATGGAAAGCAAAAGTTGGTGCTTAATCTTGCCCCAGACCTCTTTCCTCCTAAATCTAAACAATAGTGAAATGTACTCTTGCATAGCTCAGCATAGCCCATACCTCCAACGCAAATGGATAAGAAAGCTTGCAATATAATTGCTTTAGATAATTATGTTTATACCAGAGACCAGGACACCTGGTCTGGTTTGTGTGATCTCTGACCCATAATAATGGGGTGCTTGGGTGCTTGTGCTTGTACTTGTGCCCCAATTTCTCCCTAGTCTCAGAAACACCATCTCTAACAACCACTCCCCAGCCCAAGGACACTGTGCCTAGCAGTTATTCATGCATGGGCCTCAGCATGACCCTTATCTCTCTCCCTGGTACAACTACACAGAGCTGGGCTGCTCAGGCCCCAGCCCTCAGATAATGTCTCTGGAAGCCTCCCAATTCCTCAGCAAGTTCCTGTGTTGTGAGAAAGCTTTCCTTTGTTGCAGAGCATTCTCATGTCAAGACAGAGGGAGAGGGGTGTCCTTGACCAGCCCAAGAACTCTTCCTCTTGCGAGACTTCAAAGATCCATCCCCCTCCCTGTCCTGTATATTCCCTGTACTTTCCCATCCATAGCCCCCAAAGACACCTGCATCTTTGGATTACCTCATCAGTGTTCCTCGCATTTCTTTCCCATGCTCTTTTCTATATAAACCCTAGCTCGACCCCTGATGGGGGCTCCTTGATTTGGATGTGCATACCCCTTGCAGCCATGCGCTAATAAAATCCACATCTTAAATTATGTCTGGGTCTCACCCGCTGATTTCTCAGTACAACAACAGTAGTGGAGGAGGGGCATGTAAGTGGCAGTGGAGAGCCAGGGTTATGCTCATTCTTCCTCCTAGCCTATATATCAGAAGGATGTTAGAGAAGAAAAGGTTAGCATGGGAGAAGGAACAATGACAAGGTATTGTCATGAGAAATCCAAGCTTCATGGAACAACAAATAATCAGAAAATCATGGTTCCACATACACACACACACAAATATATACATATATATATGTATATATATATATATGTAAGTATGTGTATGTATATATGCAACTACAAATAATAGTGGTTGCAGGAATGTAGAGATACTTGTACAAAAGAATGGAAGTACAAAAGATGCCAAGTTTGGGAACTATCAAGTAATCTAGTTCATCAAGAAAGTAGAGCTCTTATAGAGTAATAGGAAATGAATTTATAATGTAGGATGAAACAAGATGATCATGAGTCTTAGATGGCCTGCTAGTAAGTTTGGGATAAGATGGAATCTAAAGCAGAACTGAACAAGTTAACTTTGACCAGAAGAACCACCTCTTCTTCTGAAGCAAGAGACCAGAAGGAAAGGATAGGAGAAGTCCCAGGAGTTTTAAAGAGGATTAGAAGCTAAGAGACCTCCCCTTAGATGGCCCTGATCTCCTCAGGGACTGCAGGAGGCAATATCATGTCACCTAAGAGCTACCATCTCACCTCTTTTCTTCCTTTAACTGCTAAACATCTTCAGCTGATTGTCTACACTTATTACCTTCATTTCCTCACTATCCACATATTTGAAATCTGGCTTCTGTCCCTTTCACTCTACTTATGCTATTCTCTCAGAGGTCACCAATGAACTCCGAATTACTAAGCTCAGTAGTCTTTTTCTAAATCCTTATCTTCCTTGACCTTTCTGCAGCCTATGATACTGTTAACCAACCCCTCCCCCTTGATCCTCTCCATTCCTCTTTTGGTTTCCCTGATAATCTCTCTTCACTCTCCTATCCATATAACCATTTAATTTCTCTTTTGCTGATTCTAGTCACTCCCCACAACTTAGCTGCTCCCAGTGATTCTTTCTTTGGCCGCCTTCTTTCCTTGCTCTACACCCTCTCCCTTGGTAATGTCATATATTTCTACAGCTTTGACTACTACCTTAAGGTCCTCCCAAATTGACATCACCAGGCTAACTTTTCTCCAAGTCCTTGCACTGAAAATTAAACATATCTAAAACTAAAATGATCTTCTTTCTCCCTAAATTTTCCTGACATCATTTGGCCCTATTATTCTATCACTCATTTGTCTATTCTCTTGAAGACAATCAAGTAGTTAACATGGTGTAATATGAAGAGTGCCGTATTTGGAATTAAAGGAACTATGATAGGAATAAATACAATTAATAAAGTCTTACTTGGGGTTCAAAAATAAGCAACTTTGCAAGCAAAAGATGGGGAGATGTTTCTAGGTAGCATTTCATCTGGAAAAGATCTGGGTATTTTAATAGAAATCACTGTTATTTGTATAATACTTTAAAGTTTGCAAAAGCATCTTACATATATCATCTTATTTGAGTCCCACAATAATCCTGTGAAGTAGTCACTATACGGATATCACCATGAGCATTTTAAAATTGAAGAAAGTGAGGCTCAGAGAAATAAACAACGGTTACACATTTAGCAAGTTTCAGAAATGGGATTTGAACACATATCTCTTCCTGACTCCAAGGCTAATGCTGTCTTGACTATGCTTCTTCGATTCTCATTTTGGTAAAATGCAATTAATATGAGATACAGCAACCAAAACAACTTTGGTAAGCTTACGTAACATTAAAAGAGGCCTAGTATCTTGTACTAAAAAGTTCTGCTATTCTACTATGATCAGACCTTATCTGCAGTATAATTTTCAGTTCTGGGTAGGCACATTTTAGGAAGGACATAGTTGCACTAGAAAATGTACAGAAAGATGTGAAACAGGATAGTGAAAGATCACTTGAACTTCTTATGAAAATTGTTTGAATGAATGGGTATGTCTAGCTGGAAAAGACAAGACTTGGGGAAATTATAGCTGTACTCAAATATGTGAAGGGTTGTCAAGTAGGAAAGAAATTAGATTTGGTTTGCTTGTCACCAGAAGGCAGAACTAAGATTGGTGGGTAGAAGTTTCAATGTGGGAGAGATTTAGATGTTTGAAAAATCAGTGTAACAGACTATCTCAGAAGGCAGTGAAAAAATAATGGTTCTGCAAATAAAAAAATCTGACTTTTTTTTTTCTTAAAGTGAATAGGCTGATTTTTTTAAAAGTTGTAGTACAGCTACACAGGGATCATCCTTACAATTGCTATTTCTTATGTTATATATTAAGTATTTTATTAAAATTACATCCAAAAACTCTTAGAAATGGAAATGTTTTCTGAAAACAAAAAAATGAATAAAATTTTATAAAGAAAAACTAATGTTGCTTAATGCCAAGATATTTCACTTACCTTCTTTTTGGAGGTAATTCAGCATGTGGCCAGTTCTCTATAGGTAAATGGGGGGGGGAACAATTAATAGGTTAGTTTAATTAGGGTATGTTTTATATAAAATAGAAAGTTATTAAAATGGCACCATATTTACCATATTCCAAGTTTTTCAGAAAAGAATTTTCTTCCTCCTATTTCAAAGAAGAAAGTGATGGGTTAGAAAATCAAACCAGTGTGTTTTAATTGTTTGTATTTTTATGGGAAGTTGGTATGGGCCTGAAAGGGGCAGGGGCATGTTGCTTGTTAGTAAGTGATAAACTCAAATAAAGTATATCAGTTTTTTAAAAAATGACAAAAATTGCAAATTTTAAGAAAAGATGCAGATCAAGGTGTCTGACATGGATGTTTAACAAAATAGTTGTGTAAAAAATTGAAGACAACAAAATAAACCTTTTCTCCTTCACTTACCTCCGAAGAATCTGAGCAGCTCTCCTTTTGGACCTTTCTTTCTGAAATCTTTTTATGACAAGTCTTACAAAGTTCCAGGAGGAGTAGCTCAAAAACAACTGCCAGGAAGGTCATGATAAAAACAGCCTTCCAGTCAGAGACAGAAACCCAGGACTCAAGATAGTCCCGTAACATAGCAGCTGCTTCCTTTTCCATTATTGTTTTCTCCCCTTCTTTAGCTCAATAATATCTGTTTTATAGAGTAATATAATGTTTATAACTTGGGTTTGGTGTTCCATTCTTAAGTTTTCAAATTAGAATGCCCGAAAACACTCATAGTTGGAACAGCCATTTCTCATAACCACAGTCAATGCTCTGTCAGGGGGGAAGTATCACCACAGCCCATTATGCTATCAAGTGTAACAGTGGCTGGTCTTGGCCTTGATTTCAGTGAGAAACGTGTCATAATGGGTCTAACTGAGCTCATATCAATTGACTCTAGCCACTAAGAAAACTAAATTTTAGAGAGACATTTGGGACCATTGGCCACCTGGTTTATCAAAATCTAGAAAAATAGGGCCTACTGATTTCAGAAAACATTATAAGACTTTTTTCCTGGTTTTTTTAGTTGTTTTCAGTCATGTCCAACTCTTTGTGACCCCATTTGGGGTTTTCTTGGATGCTGGAGTGGTTTTGCCATTTTCTTCTCCAGCTCATTTTACAGATGAGGAAACTAAGGCAAACATGGTTAAGTAACTTGCCCAGTGTCACATAGCTAGTAAGTTCTTTTTGTTTTTTTTTGTTTTGGTTTTTTGTTTGTTTGTTTGTTTGTTTTGGTTTTTAGGCAATTGGGGTTAAGTGACTCGCCCAGGGTCACACAGCCAGTAAGTATCTGAGGCCGAATTTGAAGTCAGGTCCTCCTGACTTCAGAGCTGGTGCTCTATCTAGCTGCTGCCACCTAACTGTCCCCAGTTGTTGTTGTTCATTTGTGTACAACTCTTTGTGACCCCCTTGTGGGGTTTTCTTGGCAAAGATGCTGGAGTGGTTTAAGATTTCCTTCTCCAGTAAATAGAGGTTAAGTGACTTGCAAAGGGTCACAGAGCTCATAAGTATCTGAGCCTGATCATTCATTACACTGATCAACAAGCATTTATTAAACACAAAATTCTGGAAATATAAAGACAAGATTGAAATAATCCCTGCCTTCCAGCAGCTTAAATTCTATAAATTCTTAAATTCTGTAAGAATGTAGATTTAGATCTAGAAGGTATGTTAAAAGTCACCTGGTCCAACCCTTCCATTTAACTGATGAAGAAAAAAGTCACCCAGGTATCAATTGTCAGAACTGAGGAAAACAATTTTTAGAAGCAACCATTAATTCTCTTGTCAAATATTAAAAAGTTTCTACAGGTAGAAATTGTGACACAGTCGTTTTTTGGTTACAATTAGTTATTTCTGCTTGGGAGCCTATTAAAAATAGTTGTAAAGGCCCATAAACTGTACAAAATAAACATCCAGAATTTGAAAAAATATTCAAAACCACCCTCCCTCCCCCCAGAATATACAAAATCTAGGTTACAATGTCAACAGTATATGCCAATTTTTTTTGCAAAAAAGTGGGGGTGCAACCATTATGTGAAGCTTTTTTGTTTTTTTTTTAAATTGTGCCGGTATTACTTAAAAATCATTTATTACTAAGCTGTCTTTGGTGCAAGATTAGGATACACAGAATACTTATGAATCTACGTTAAAATTAGGAAGATGCAAGTCTTACCATATCACGTGCTCTAAACAAACCATGCAAGTCAGCTTTTCCAAGCAGCATCCAAAATAGCTTGATGAGGAGAATTATACCATGTGCCAATTACATAATGAAAGGCTATAAACCAATTTTTGGACTGAAAAAATAGGGTGTAACAATTATGTGGTTGTGATGATTATGAGGTGAAATAAATATGGTTAAGAGGTTGGGGAATATTTCCTATAAAAGAGGTGGGGGGGTGGGGTTTCAGTTGGGACTTAAAGCTAGGGAGTTCAATAGTCAGTACAGGAGGAGGAAGAGCATTCCAGGCATGGGTGACAGTGAGAGAAAATGCCTGGAGGAGAGCTGGAATATTTTGTTTATGGAATAGACAAGAGGCCTACTCCTCCCTGATTTTCTTTTACTCTTACAGCTGCTGTTCCTGATGTTCTAGTCCAGGGGTGGGGAACCTGTAGCCTCAAGGTCCTCAGGTGGGGCCCTTTGACTGAATCCAAACTTCACAGAACAAATCCCTTTAATAAAAGGATTTGTTCTGCAAAACTTGGACTCAGTCAAAAGGCCACACCCAGGACCTAGAAGGCCACATGTGGCCTCAATGCCACCGGTTCCCCACCCCTGTTCTAGTGTCTTCTCAAGCCTCCCAAAGCACTTCCTATCTGCATCTATTCATTTGAGGAACTCACTTCATACTTCACTGAAAAAACTGAGGCTATTTGACAAGTATACTGTCTTCTCCCCTTCTCCTATACATCCATTTGACATCATCACTCACTATCTCCTTCATTTCCATCTCTGATGAAGAGGTAGTCTTTACCAAAGCTAGTTCCTCTACACATACCTTTGATTCCACTACCTCTCATCTTCCCCAGCAGATTGTTCCCACTATCATCCCCATTCTTTTTTGTATTCAGTCTCTCCCAATTTAGTGGCTCCTTCCCTGCTGCCTATAGAAACACCCACATCATTCCTCCTACCCCATCCTTTTAAAAATCCTCGTTTGGTCCTACCATTCCCCTTAGCTAGATTCCTTTATTGCTCCTTCCTTTCTTGGCTAAGCTCTTTAAGAAAGCCATTAACAAGCATAGTGTCTCCACTTTCTCTCCTCTGACTCTATTCTAAAACCTGTGCAACCCAGCTCCCAATTTCATCATTCAACTGAAATTGCTCTCTACAAAGTTATGATCTTAATTCCCAAATCTAATGCCCCTTTCTCAATCTTCATTTATCTTGACCTTTCTGTACCATTTGACAGTATGGATCACCTCCTTTTCCTAAATACCCTCTTGTCTCTGCATCTTCCCTTGGTTTTGACCACTCCTCAACCTCTTTAGTTGGGCTTTCATCCATGTCATGCTCATTAACCATGGGTATCCCCCAAGGTTCTGTTGTAGGCCCTCTTCCCTTTTTGTTTTATACTATCTCACTTGATGACCTCATTGATTCAATTATCCACTGGCATCAAATCTATTGGTGTCAAGTCCCACTGGTTCAATTATCATCTTTCTTTTTTTCCTACTTAATATTATTTTATTTTTTCCAATTACATGTAGAGATAGTTTTCAACACTCACTTTTATAAGATTTTGAGTTCCAATTTTTTTTCTCCCTCCCTTGTGGCCCTCCCCAAGACAGCAAGCAATCTGATATATGCTATACATGTACAATCATATTAAATATATTCCCACATTAGTCATGTTGTGAAATAAAAAACATAACAAAAAGGAAAAAAACACAAAAAATAAAAAATAAAAAATAAAAAAAAAACAAGACAGAGAAAATAGTATGCTTCAATCTGCATTCAGACTCCATAACAGATATCCAATGTGGATAACATTTTCCATTATGAGTCTTTTGGGAATTATCATCTTTCTGCAAATGATCCCATGATCTCTCTCTCTCTCTCTTTACTGGAAAACTTTTAGGTGGAGTGGGATAGCTGGACACAGTTTAGATGATTCCAATTTTGTTGGCAACATCTAAAGCATCATAGTCTGGAGCAAGTCAGGCATAGGCCTTCTTCTCTCCATTGGGCTGGATCAGTGTGTTGACCTTGGCCACATCAACGTCATACATCTTCACCGCTGCTTGATCTGATAATTGTTGGCCTTGACATCCACAATGAAGATGAGGGTGTTGTTGTCCCAGTCTTCTTCATAGCAGACACAGTGGTCAAGGGAAACTCAATGATGGCATAGTGATCAAGCTTGTTTCTCCGAGGGGACTTTTCTGAGGGTATTTGGACTGCCTTCAAAGTCTTAGTCTCCTGCATCGCCAGAAGGTGGGGGATGTTTGGATCTTTTTTTTTTTTTGTGGCTATGGACACCCTTCAACACTGCCTTCGTAGCCTTCATGCCTTGGACAACTGCTTCCTTCTTTGCTTTTGGCACCATCTTGGGGGAAAGGCCTTTCTCTCCATCTTCAGCTACAGTCCTATATCATCAAACACCTACTGAACATTTCAGATTAGATTCCCATAGACATCCCAAATTCAACATGTCCAAAACAAAACTCATTATCTTTTCTCTCGAATTCTAGTTTTTCCTAACTTCTCTATTACTACCAATATTACCACCATCCTCCCATTCACTTAGGCTCACAACCTGGATATTAATCTTGATGTCATCCTCTAATTCTCAACATCTCTTGCCACACATATCCAATCAGCTGTCAAATCTTGTCATTTTTACCTTTTCAATATCTCTCATATACATCTCCTCTCCATTGACACAGTTTCTTTTCTAATTCAGGACTTACCACCTCTCCCTGGTCTATTAAAATAGCTTTCTTTTCAAAATTTTATTTTATTTTCTGATCTGCATTCATTCTTTCCCATCTTCCTTTTCCTCTGCCCCCATCACACACTAAGAAAGGAAGGAAAAGCAAAACTCCCATTAAACACGTATAGTCAAGCAAAATTTCCACATTGATTATGTAAAAGATGTTTCCATCTGTATTCTGAATCCATTACCACTATCAGGAGGTAGGTAGTATGTTTCATCTTGAATCCTCTGGAATGGTGGGTGGTCATTGTGCTGATCAGAGTTCTAAATTGTTTATCTTTACAATATTGCTGTTATTGTATAAATTCTTCTCTTATTTCTCCTCATTTCACTCTGTCTCTTCATACAGTCTTCCCAAGTTTTCAGAAAAACCATGTTTGTCATTTCTTATAGTATAATAGTATGCTATAACACAATAGCCTTCTGATTGGTCTCCTTGCTTCAAATCTCTGCTTCCTCCAATTCATCCTCCATACAGTAGACAAGATGATTCCCAAAGCACAAATCTGATCATGTCACACACTGCCTACTTCACTCATACACACACATACCACACAGACATATATTCAATAAACTCCAGTGGCTCCCTATTTATTACTTCTAGGATCAAATATAAATTGTTCCATCTGGTATTTAAAGCTCTTCATAACCTGATAAGGCATTCTAATTCCTATCTTTATGCCTTTATGCATGGAAGATTCTGGCGCCTCACCTATGCCTCTTGCCATCTCTGGCTTCCTACAAGATTCAGTTCTAATGCCACCACTTGCAGGATATCTCTTCAGTGTCTCCCAAGTACTAAAGCCTTCTCCTCTAAGATTACCTTCTATCAATACTGTTTACATCTTATGTATACATAATTATTCCCATGTTATCTCCTTCTACTAGAATGCAGGAGGATAGAGTCTATTTTTGCTTTTCTTTGTAAACCCACATCTAACACAGTGGCTGGCACATAACAAGCATGTTAATAAATGTTTATTGATTGACTGAGTGATAGTCCATGAAAGTAAGAGAATATTACTGCATTTTAAGAAATCATGGACATAAGGAAATCATGGGAAGATTTGCATTAACTCCTGTGCAGTGAAAAGAGCAGGACCAAGAGAACAACATACATGCTGCATGCAGTAATGTAAAAAGAAAACAATGCTAAAAGCAGCCAGACTGATTAATTAGTGATCAATCTTGGTCCTGGAGAACAGATGATGAAATGTGTGTTCTCTCTTGGGTGGGGAGCTATGGATGTGAAATATTGCATATGCTATTAGATACTATCTAACTTAACTTCATTTTGCTTCACTTCGTTTTCCTCTGTTACAAGGGAAGAGTCTATGTCAGAGCAGGGAGGAAGGGGAGGGGCAATATATGGAAAAAATGACTTAAAAATACATAAGTAGACCTTTTAAAACACCAGTCTCAATGTGAATTGCTTTATTCTGTACTGGTTTCACTACAGCAGTTTCCCAGTAAACTGTTCCATTGTAACACAATGATGCTTCACTATGCCTCAAAGTGTGGTTTATGGTCTCTCCATAAAGCAATTATTTAAGTTCGGTCAGAACCAAGAGTCGGAGTGAGACCTTTGTGGTCAGTAGATTCTGATTCTGCTCCCCTCAAAGCCTTTACTAGCCTGCAGACTCTATACAGCAAATATTCTCCTAAACCTTACTATCGTCAACCGTAGTCAAAAACACTGAAACTGGAACCAAAAGATTTAGGACTAGGATTGAATCCCTTACATGCTGTGGGTCTTTGTTCAAGTTTCTCTCACTCTGTTTCTTCTTCTATAAAAATGAAGTGATTGAACTGACCGATCTCTAAGGCTCCTTCCAGCTCTGACTTTCAGTGCTCCCCTGACTGAGAATTTGCAGCTTGCCTTTCCTCTGAAGAGTTCATTCATGCTCCAATTTAGGGGTGTTAAGTCCTAAGGCAATCTGAAAGAACCACAACACATCTTTAAGGTCCCTTCCAGCCCTAAATCCTATGAGCTGAATGTAACAATGTCAAGGTAAGGAGTTGGCTGGTCACAAAAACAACAAACAAGCAAACAAAAAAAAAAAACCCTTTGGATTTATATATTTCCAGAGCATTCATGAACCCAGAAGAGTAGAAACTAACATATGATCAGCCCTCTGACAAGAGGCAAAGGGTTTTTTTTTACTGGCATAGCAGGAGTTTGGGGGACTCTTAAGGAGGAGAGGAAAAGGGAGAGGTATAGATCCTCATGACCCATGGTAGCCAGTACCTACAGAGGAAGAAATTGCCTCCGTTTAGTGAGATTATTGTATCTAGCATAGAATACTAGAACAAAATCAGCACTGGAAAGACCTTAAAGGATGTCTGACCACTTAATTTTACAGATGAAGAAACTGAAACCCGAAGAGCTGAAATGACTTGCCTTCCAAATACTCTTTCCACTAATGTTCTTAATCTTTTGGTTTATAGCATAAGAATAAATGTAGACTATTAGAATAAGTAGCAGACTATTAACCTTTCTTTTGTGAGAACACAATCACTATGTATGCGTGACCCATCTAAAATGCATCTACCTCAAAGGAGATGTTTTATGTTGGATTAACTTCTAGGCGAAATGTCTTTTTTTTTCCTTATATTAATGTTTAGTATGGATTAACTCCAGTTTAGACTCCAGAAGAAATCATTCTTTAAAGAAATGAAAAGGAACAATAGCTCCCCCTCCTGCTTGTTCTGTCTTTACACAAGGGTAAATCAAGACCAAATTTCCTTTTTTCCCCCCCCATTTCAGATGTTTATGAGTATCCCTAGAGTGCAATACTATTGTTTTTCCCCCACTTAATCGTATTTTATTTTTTCCAGTTATGCATAAAAATAGATTTCAACATTTTGAGTTCCAATTTTTTTCTCCCTCCCTCCTTCCTCTTCCCACCCTTCAAGGCAGCATGCAATCTGATATAGCTATTCATATACAATCACATTAAATATATTTCTGTATTAGTCATGTTGCAAAAGAAGAATCAGAACAAAAGGGAAAAGTATGAGAAAGAAAAAAATGAAACAACAAAAAAAAAGAAAATAGTATGCTTCAATCTGTATTCAGACTCCATAGTTCTTTCTCTGGATGTGGATAGCACTTTCCATCATGAGCCTTTGGAACTGTCTTAGATCATTGTATTGCTGAGAAGAGCTAAGTCTATCAAAGTTGGTCATAGCACAATGTTGTTGTTGTTACTGTGTATGTCTCTATTTTTTTTTTAGTATATTTTACTGGGGCCTTTATTTTTACATCACAGAAATTTTTGGATATACTTCCCACCCTTCCCTAAATCACTCATGTCTTTACCAAAAGCACCGTTGTAACAAAGATAGGATAGCTAGGTGGCAAAGTGGATAGAACAGTGGACAAAAACTCAGGAAGACTCATCTTCCTGAGTTCAAATCTGGCCTCAGACCTTACTAGATGTGTGACCTGGGGCAAGTCATTTAATCCTCTTTGCCTCAGTTCGTCCTCTGTAAAATGAGCTGGGGAAGGAAATGGCAACCCTCTCCAGTGTCTTTACCAAGAAAACCTCAAGTGGGGTCACTAAGAATCAAACACAACTGAAATGACTTAACAGCAATGAACAACAAAGATAAACAGCAAGCCAATATAAAATGATGTCTTAAAACGTATGCAACATGCTGCCCCATATTCCCTTGACTCTCATTACGTTTGCTGGGATCAAGATTGTCTATTACAAATCATTCAGATTTAGGCTTCCTTTTAACGCTGTTTTAATTTACATTAGTGTAGCCACTGTTCATATTTTTTCTGCTTTTGCTTCCTTTCATTTTACATCAGTTCATACAAACCTTACTGTTTCTCTGAATTCTCATTCATTCAAAGGCATTTAATTCAATAGCATAGTACAAAAAATAGCATGAAACATTCCCCCTATGAAAATGGGACACACTCTTCCACGAATAAATTATGCCATCCCTAGGGAAAAAAACAGACATAGGTAGGGACAATTTGGAGTCAGGTATAGTCTGGGCACACACACAGAGAACAAAGGTGGTCAAAAGGACATGGGTAGCTGCACAGCTGCTCCCACCTGGTCACATGAGGCATGCTATCTGTTGGTGCTATGGTCCATGTGTAGTATGTACCAGGTGTGGCTACCTATTCTATGCCCATCTCTCATAGCCACCATTTGAAGGTGCTGCCAGAAACAGATTTATTGGCATGAAGGTATGGAGCTTCTCTTTTCTTCCAGCTTCTGACTTTTAGTTACCATCCTCAACTAAGGTGCTACTCCACCATAAGAGGGAGGGTGGTTTCTTTCTCACTTTTATTTTAAAGCCCAGTGCTTTTTGCTAACATGGGTTCTAGAAAGATCGAGTATTCATGAACCCAGGAGTGGAGTGGGGAAACCCTCAATGATGTCTCTCACAAGGAGATGTGTGTGAATGGACAGAACAGATGGCAGGGAGGAACCGGGGTTATCCCTTCTCAGAGCTGTGATAGTAATGGACATTTGTTTTCTCTCCAGGAGAGGGTCCATACAGCAGCTACGCCCTTACATATATAGCAGCCCCAGCTAGCTAGTGCCCATAGGCTTAGATCTCTAAAGGTAGGGTCTCTTGTCAGAAATCTCACTTTGGTGTCATCAGCAATTTTTTTTTTGCAGCTCCTTGCTTAACATCTTATTGCCAAACTGTAACCAGTAAGCAGTGGGGTGTCTGTGAGCATTCAGGGAGGACTAGCACCTCTGACGTGAGGGCTTGCTGAGCCCTTTTCAGGGCTGTTCATCTACCTTTGGTGTCCACCTGCCACCTAACTCTCACCTGTGGCTCCAAGAAGTTGTAGCGTGTACAGTGGCCACGCCTGGGTAAAACCAACTTGGCAGACAGGCTAAACCAGGCTGAAGGTAACAAACAGCCTCAAATCCATCAGTGAATTGGAGGGATATCTACCCCAAGCATGTTAAGACTTCCTCTGGCGGAATGGGCTGATGAGAACAATTTGTTCCAATGGCCATGAAGATGGCTGAAGCAAGCACTGTGGAGAGCTTAGAGCTTGGTCAGATATTAAAGACACCCAGGTCATCATCCACTGTATCTCAGGCCATTGAAAGTCATCTTAACTGTTATCTTGCCATTGGACTTCAACGACTCTGGAAGACAGGGTGAAGCTGATGACTTGGTGCAGCTCTGCCTCACTTAAATTTAATTCAAGGGCAAATGAAGACACCATCCCATGACTTCATAGATCCTCTTCAAAAACGAAGGATGGCTGGTGCAGTGGATAGAACACTAGCCCAGGAGTCAGGAGGACCTGAGTTCAAATCCAGCCTCAGACATGTAACACAACATTACTACTAATGTGACCCCGGGCAAGTCAGTTAACTCCATTGCCTAGCAAAAAACAAAAACAAAACAAATTTTAAAAAAATGATATATCACAGATCAGCATAATGAATTAAATGGGAATTTTTTGGGAGTTCTGTGAGACCTGTAGATGACACTTGAAGGCCAGTAGATACCACAGAAAAAATTTAGAAACTCAGAAATGTATAAAGTATATGTACATTATTGTGTAATATCAACATACTTTTATCATTTAATACCATAATAATTCAGACTTCTTCTCTGGCACAAAAGAAAAGCCAAAAAATTTTGTACAGATTTTCCAGATCGAGAAGACACCACTGCACCTCTAATCCCCATGATGTGGAAGTGATATTAGCCATTATTAATTAACCCTGAGAATGGATGTCCCTCATCAAACTGACCCTATGAATATTCAAACATATTTGTATTACATGTACATCATCTCCCTTCTACCATCATCCCCCTCAGTTCCCTACTACTAAAGCCTTTAGGTCCAATATTGTGTTTAGCTATTTCCACGGAACACTATAAGGACCCTCCCAAAAGAAAAAAGTTTGGTTGAGAAACTCCCCAGAACAGCAAGATATTTCTATTGGAGCTTTTTTCTTTACCTAAGTTATGAGTTCATAGCAGCACAGACTATCAGAGTCGGGAAAGACAACCAAATATCCCCTTTCAAATACACCTTAGTGGCCATTCAGTCTTTTTTTCAAGGAACTAGTGAGGGAGAACAAACCGTCTTCTGGAACAGCCCATTCCACCTTGTAGTAATTAGAAAGTTTTTGTAGTAGGGGGACAGAGCCAAGATGGTGGAGTAAAAGCAGTGACTTGCTTAAGATCTCCTCCAAACCCCTCCAAACACTTGTAAAAAATGGCTCTAAACAAATTCTAGAGCAGCAGAATCCACAAAAAGACAGAACAAAACAAATTTCCAGCCCAGGACAACCTGGATGGTTGATTGGAAAGGTCTATTGTGCTGGGCTGGGAGAGGAGTGCAGTTCAGTGTGGGCCATGCAAGCTAAGACCAAGCTTCAGCAAACCTGGAGCAGGCCCAGAGGACTGAATCACAGGCAGCTATGGCAGTTTCCAGCCTTCTTAACCCACAAATGCCAAAGACAACTTAGAAGGTCAGTAGGAAGGTCTGTGACCACGGTGAGAGAGAAGCTCAGTCTAGCCCCAGTCCTGGCACAGCCGTGGGACAGCAGCTACTTCCTGAGCTCTCCGCCGACAGATGGAGGGGGAATCGAGTGGCTGATCAGAGGGGGATTGCAGGGATCTCTTTGCTGGTGCTAAGGTAGGATTCTGTTGCTTTGCTAGTGCTTGGATCTGGGTCACAGTTTTGGGTGGCGGTCCTGCGGTAAGGAGGAGTGCTGGCATGGTGGAGCTTGTAGTGGTGGCAGAAAGTGAATCCTCCTCACAATCCCAAGGCAGAAAAGAATGCTTGTGGTCACTCATAGAACACAGCCCAGGCAGGAAAAGAGTAAACACCTCACCCTTGATCATACCACCTTGGAAGAACTGAAAATTTACAGGTCTCTAGAGGTATCTCTGAAAACAGCTGCACAAAACCCCCAAAGCCTGGGACAGTACATTCTCTACTCTGGAAGCAGACCCCTACCTTAACAAAGAGTTTAAAACTCAAGTAATTGGCTGGGAACATGAGCAAACAGCACAAAAAAAGTCAGACCACAGAAGTTTTCTTTGGTGTCAAAGAAAATCAAAACATACAATCAGAAGATGACAGTGAAGTCCAAGCTCCTACATCCAAAGCCTCCAAGAAAAATATGAATCTGTCCCAGGCCATGGAAGAGCTCAAAAAGGATTTTGAGAAGCAAGAGAAGTAGAAGAAAAACTAGGAAGGAAACGACAGTGATACAAGAAAATCATGAAAAACAAGTCAACAGCTTGCTAAAGGAGACCCAAAAAAATACTGAAGAAAATAGCACCTTAAAAAATAGACTAACCCAAATGGCAAAAGAGGTCCAAATAGCCAATGAGGAGAAAAATGCCTTAAAAAGCAGAATTGGCCAAATGAAAAAAGAAATCCAAAAGCTCACTGAAGAAAAAAATACTTCCTTAAAATTTAGAACAGAGCCACAGTGGATAAAGCACCAGCCCTGGATTCAGGAGGACCTGAGTTCAAATCCAGTCTCAGACACATAACACTTACTAGCTGTGTAACCCTGGGCAAGTCACTTAACCCCCACTGCCCAACCAAACAAAACAAAACAAAAAATTAGAATAGAGCAAATGGAAGCTAGTGACTTTATGAGAAATCAAGACATTGTAAAACAAAACCAAAAGAATGAAAAAATAGAAGACTGTGAAATACCTCACTGGAAAAACAACTGACCCGAAAAATAGATCCAGGAGAAAGAATTCAAAAATTATTGGACTATCTGAAAGCCTTGATCAAAAAAAGAACCTAGACATCATCTTTGAAGAAATTATCAAGGAAAACTGCCCTGATATTTTAGAACCAGAGGGCAAAATAGAAGTGGAAAGAATCCACTGATCACCTCCTGAAACAGATCCCCAAAGGAAAACTCCTAGGAATATTACAGCCAAATTCCAGAGATCCAGAGATCGCAAGCAGCTGGAAAGAAACAATTCAAGTACTGTGGAAACACAATCAGGATAACACAAGATTTACCAGCTTCCAAATTAAGGGACCGGAGGGCTTGGAATATAATATTCCAGAGATCAAAGGAGATAGGATTACAACCAAGAATCATCTACCCAGCAAAAGTGAGTATAATTCTTCAGGGGAAAAAATGGATATTCAGTGAAACTGAGGACATTTAAGCATTCTTGATGAAAAGACCAGAGCTGAATAGAAAATTTGACTTTCAAATACAAGACTGAAGAGAAGCATGAAAAGGTAAACAGGAAAGAGAAATCATAAGGGACTGTTGAACTGTTTACATTCCTACATGGAAAGATAATGGGGAGAAAATTTAGAATTCAATCTCGTGGAAGTGAATGTTGAAAACTAAAAATAAATAAATAAATAATTTTTTTGAAAATAAGGAAAAAAATTTACTTATGTGGAGCTAAAATCTGGCTCTCCATAACCTACACCTCTCCAAGGGTAAGTATAATAACAGTCCAGTCCTTCCTCCCCCTTTATATTCTTGAATATTGTTATCACATGCTTCCTAAAGTCTCCTGTTCTTCAGACTGTATCTCCAATTCCTTCACCTCATCCTCAGACAGAAAGATTTGGAGGTCTTAACACCATTCTTGGCTGCTCTCCAGAGGACATTCTAGAACTTATTAATGCCTTTCCTGAAAGAAGGCATTGAAAATTGAACAAAATATTCCCAGATATGACCTACCTAGCAGAGAGAATATAGACGATTATCGTGTTTCTAGTACCGGACACTATACTTCTCTTAAGGAATCCCTTATTTTTAGCTGCCATATCACACTGTTGACTCAAACTGTTTGTACTGAATTAAAGCCACCAGATGAATGACTATCTAGTCATGTTGTCTTATATTTGTGAAGGTAATTTTTTTAAACCTAAATGTAAGACTTTATATTTTATTGGTTGATATGTTGGTTTCTTTTGCTTAGCTATCATTTTTGGCATAAGAGAGGGTTTGTATTGGAGAATGAGGAGGTGGAGTCATTAGAAACTGAGTAATGTGAAAAAGAGCATCAATTAAATCTCAAAAAAAAAAAAGCAAAAACCTTTTTCTTCATCTCTATTAAATCTCATCTTACAAGACTGAGTTCAATGGCCTAGCCTGTCAGGATCTTCTGGGATCCTGTTTAATCCAAAGTTCTGGCTATAATTCCCAGCTTTGTGCCATTTGCAAATTTGGTAAGCTTATAATTTATACCTTTATCCAAGACACTGCTAAAAAAATTGTTATTTCACTTTGGAGTTGTATGTATCTTAGGTTTCTTGTTCCAAAGAAATGCTCCCTCTTTTTGCAGTCACTTTATTAACCTCACTATGGCATGTATCTATTGTAGAAATAAATAAAAGATGACAAACATTTATGGGTTTGGTTTTTTTTTTGTATACGTAAAGTGATATGAAAGTAACTGCTTCTTCCTTGTTCAGAGAAAATATTAGTTACATACTTACATGACTGGTTTTACTTAGCTGTCCAAACCTATAATTTTACCAGTATAAAGTACCAGACTAAACTATAATTTCATTCACTCTGTAAAATACCAATGTACCAAACATACTGCATAGTTTAGGTTGTTTTAAAAGAAATTTCTAAAGAAATATTTGATGAGTATCAAATTATGTAACAAAGTAGCGTAAGTGGGAAAAACTATATATTTAATTTTTGAAAAAGCAGATTTGACAAAAGCCATTTTGATCTATTATAACCTGAATATTTTCACATCTCCTTCTTTAACGAGGTAACATTAGCATTCAAAGCACATTAATAAAGACATATTAGAAACAGGTCTAACACGTGCCTCACAATTCTGAGAGATTTGCTCTTTTGCATATCAAATCAAATATACAAATCCCCAATGACACATGGCTTTTAATCAATGAATTATTTCTTATCCAGTTCAATGACTTCTTGGATCCAAGAAAGAACATGTGAGTTGATTTCCTTCAAAACATCATCTGCAGATCGTCCTTTCACAATCATGGAATGACTGGCTTTTTTAACCCAGTGGATCTTAGTAGGGGCTTGCATTGCCTTTGCTACTTTCTCCAGCAATTTCTAAAAGAAAACATATATAGAGGAAAACAGATTTAATGCTAATTTTGTGATTACGTTCTATGATCCCATCTACCAAGTAAGTTACTAGGACCTTCCCTTCTCCCCCTCTTTGAATATATGCAAAGATACTCATTTAATGTCTGAGACAAACCATCTGTCGCAGCTCTGGAAGGACAACAATTTGCTAAAGCATTTATTATTGATAATTGTGTTATCAGTTGTAGGTCAGTTGAACTGTGTATGCTGCTCCCAAAGACAAATTCAGATGTTTGGGGAACTGCATTAAAACCTTTACATTGATAGTTTGTTATTGCAGCACCATATTAAATCAATTTATTTTCAATTAATAAACATTTTCTCTCCTCACCTCCTCCATATCCACTGAAAAAAGAAAAAGTTAAGGAAAACAAATTCTTGCATTGGAATATCTAAAAATGTGTGTCTTATTCTGCATTTTGAACCTATCATCTGTCAGGAGGTGGGTCAAATTCTTCATCATCAGTCTTCTAGAATCATGCTGGATCATCACTGAGTTGATCTTAAGTTCTTATGTCCTTTCAAATGATCCATTTTTACAATGTTATAGGCTGAAGTCAGTGTGTTAAATATTAACGTCCTTGTCAAGGTTATGCTTGTATAAGGTTATGTTGGGAATAATTTTTACAAAGGAATAATATGGCTGAATGCCAGAAAGTTGAAATAGCCTACAGAGCTAATAACATAGCTATAACAGAAGATGAAAATTCTCAAAAGACTAAAGATGTCACTTTTCTTGTTCCTGTATGTCAGTGTTCATCTTCACTTGGCCAAGTAGTCCTTACCTACCATACAAAATGGGCCAGTGCAACTATGGTATCTATGCTCTCTGCTTCTCTCATGTCTCAGAGGACCTTGGGTATAAATGAGCCAACAAGCAAGATTCGCTCTTCTGAACCGATTCTGAATTTCCCAAGGAAGTTTATTTCTTCCTGAAGAATCTCCTCTAATAAACACTCTACACCACAGTTGTTACCTTTTCACACATCTCGTCTGCGGAGCCAGAAATAAAGAGCACGGGGCCTTTTATAAGCAGCAAACTTCTATTTCTGAGCTTCTGCTGCTGCTTTGGACGGTGCAGGGGATAAGAAAAGCAAATGAGACCTCGGATAAGGTCATCAACATCTTCTGGTTCAATCTGACACATCACAGAGGCAGCAGCTCTAGAACCCATAGAACGACCTAGAATCATTTTTTGAAAAAAAATCAAAAGTTAGCCAGGAGGACAGACAGTAGTCCTATAGTAAAGATGGTCCAACTTTAAAGCTCATCTCCCACCCACGGATTATCATTCACTTTTCACTTTCTTCTACACAATGAATGTGGCACTTAGATAAGCAGAGGAGGCCTTGAAGGTCCTAGAAGAAATGATAAAAGGTTAATAACAAATCTTGCCCATACAAATGTCAAGCCGCCATGATTGTCTAAGGGTCTGAGGCTCACAGGTGGAAAGCTGGAAGGGACCTAAGAAGTCTTTTCATCTTATAGATTAGGAAACTCAGGCCTAGAAGTGCTAAGTGACTTATCCAAGGTCACACAGATTAGCAATCGATGAAAAAACTGGGATACGAAACCCAGATCTTCCTTCTCTAAATTTTGTGTTCTATTTGCTGACTCCCCTTTGAAGACAATACTATCCATCAAAGGGATCTTCTTGCCTGAACAATTATGGGTAAGGGGAGGATGCCTGTCTCCTTTTCTTAGCGCCATTTTCTCATGCAAAGTAGACAGCAGATACAAAGTTAATGAAAGCCAGAAAAGTGCTTTGAGATCCTACTAAGTTATCATTTAGAACAAGTTTTAAGAGGATCCTAACACTAGCATCTGTTCAATTTTATTCCTCTTCTATCATTTCCTCAATATTTTTAGAATCCATAATTTTGTCAATGGGGGTATTCCCTTCTACCAAAAGAGGTCAAAGCACCTCTGTGCTTTTAAAGACTGCCTTTATAAGCTGCTATGGACCCAAAATTCATCATCCAATAGTCAACATAATGCACCTCTTCAGTAATGGACTGCATGTGTTTTTCTTAAAAAAAAAAAAAAAGAGAGGGAGATCCTTAAATAACAAAAAAATCAAAAGATCAGCAAATTACCTCCAAGGAAAATACCTGCAAGTCTGTATTTATCTGAAGTCTTCAGGTATTCCTAAGAAAAAACGAACCAAAAATGAAGAAATTAATGCAGAAAGTGTTTCCCTAGGCATAGGAAAACATATAATGTGGGTGGTTCTTATATCCATGTTAAATAAAGTATTTGGTATACTTTTGAGTTTGAGATTAATTGGTGTTTTCTGTCAGGAGTGAACAATATTTCTATGTGTGTGTAACAAAAAAGCTTTAGACAAAGTCCAGTAACTAATGATTACTAAAGGTCTCCAGGTAAAAGGCTGGATGGCTATTTGTTGAGGATGTTGAAAAGGGCTTTCCTATCCAACTATGGGCTGATTCTATAAAAAAAAACAAAACAGTATGATCATAGACTGCATTAATAAGCACAAAAGATTTAGAACAAGGGAAGTGCTATGTTCTGATCTCATCAACTCTCAGCTGAACTGTCTGTTTCTAGGAATAACATTTTAGGATAGACTCTCCCCAGGAGAATACCAGGATGGTACTCTCTAACCTGCCCTCAGTAATCTAGTCAAAAGGGACTGTTTAGTAATCCACTCAACTGGCCTTCTTTCATTGTGGCTACACCCAATCTCCCAATTCTGTTTGGTTACCTTCCAATTGTCCCGGTCACTTCCCACCTTTAATCTTATCTAGACTCCAGTCTCCCATGGCCACATGGTCCAGGTCTCTGATGTTCAGTTCACTCCTGCTTACTGGCCACTCCCATCCAGATCCTTCTTAGACCCCTCCTGCCGTCACCTCAGACTACTTGGCCCCTCCTGGATCCCTCCCACAGTCTTTCTGTATATAAGATTCATCTTGTCTCCATTAAGGTGCTCAGATTCTTAAAATCGAACCTAATGCTCAGATTCTTAAGATCTGGCCCACTTGCATTAACAATACACATGCTTAGATTCCTTAAGAGTCTTGCCAATATGGTAGATGTTCTAATAAATCCTGTCTTTGGTTGGAAAAAAAAAGGGGACTGTTCATCAAATCCAACATGCCATCTCTAATTTCCAGACATATGGGCTCACATCCCCTATTGCCTGGGATATATACTCCCTCCTAATATTAATCTTTATTGTCATTTCAGGTTCATTTCAAATACCACTTACTCCAAAGAACCTTTTTCCCAATACCCCTACGTAAACATACACTCTTCACACCCCAATTATTTCTAAAGGACTCTATCTGGCTCTCTCCTTGGTGACTATCAATGCCTATTTTGCACTAAACTTATTTGTTATCCATCACTCAGCTCAAGTAGAATTTAAAAGCACCTTAAGAAAAAGGATGATTTTGTTTGTTGTATTGCGAGTGCCTAGCACAGCAATGCTTAAGATATATTTGTTTAATGGAACAAAGCATGATCAGACTAGAAATGACTAAGGACAGATGGAGATAGACAGAAGGAATAAAACAGCTGTCTTCAAGTATTGGATACCATATCTGTAACATGGACAAGTTCATTATGTTTTACTTAGCCCCACAGGGTAGAACTATGAGAAATAGGTGAAAGTTTCATAGACAATCTCTCAGATAGGATGTGATTGGGTTGGAATACCACTGTGGGGTAGAAAATGATGAGCTGGTTGATTTAGAAAAACATGGAAAGACTTGGACCTATGAAGGAAGATGCTATCCATCCTCAGACAAACAGATGACAAGTGGAAATAAGCTACAGTTTTACATATGTGTGTATGAGCATATATGTGTTAACTATGTGTAGGTTTATAGATATCTATATGTATGTATGTATGTATATGTGTGTATGTGTGTGTGTGTGTGTATACATACACACACACACATGCTTAACTGTAGCCTTCTTTGGGGAGGGGGAAGGGAAAAAATAAAATAAAATAAAAAGTACACAGAAGAGAACAAAAGAAAACCAACAAGGAAGCAAACAAAAGCTGGGCAGCTTTGAAAACAACATGCGGTATTTATCACATAGGTTTTATTGAAATGGAAATTTATTGTTTCATATTGAATCCTCTCCTGTTGCCCGCTGTGTACGTGGCAATTTTTTTTTCTTTTTTCTCATTTTATATTTTCTTTTCTCATTTTATATTTAAGTTTAAAATTTTTTAAATAACATTAAACAAAAAAGGAAAAACTTGTCACAAAGGTAGGAGGTTCACAGGTGTCATACACTGCACATATTTTTGGGCTTTCTAAATGTATTCACCAATTGTGCTGACTCTCTTTTTCTTTTCCAAAAAATCGAAATACTATTTATCATATGGGATGGCTCTTGGGAAGAAGATGAGAAAAGATATATGGGATACTATGATGATGTAAGAAACAGAAAACATCAATAAAAATTATTTTTTTAAAAAAAGAAATAGGTGAAAGTCTCAAGAAAGATTTTTGGCTTAATGAACGGAAAAATTTCCTAAAAATTAGAGTTGTCCAAAATTAGAATGAGCTGCCTCAGAAGGTGAGGGGTTCCTCAGATGGGGACTTGATGGTGACTTTCAAACATGGGTTTGACAGGTGATTAGCTAGCCTCTCAGGTCCCTTTCAACTAAAGAGATTCTGAAAGAAGTTTCAAATCAAAATAACATTTCAGGGGTATAGCAAGATGCTGCCTTATTAGGAGGACCTGTGGTCCTCCTCAAATCTGTGAAAATCCATGAAAAATATACCACCCGAGATTCTAAAGATATTTTTCATTTTTCAGTTCCACATTTATTAATTGCAAAGCACTATGCTTAGTACAAAGGTGAATGTAAAATATGAGACACAAGGAACTTTCAGTCAGTTCTAGAGCAATTAAGACATGAATACAAAATATAAAAGCAAAATGTTACCAAAAAAACAAAGAAGGGAGGGGTTGCATTCACCTTAAATCAAACAAAGTCTTACAGGGGGAGTAGCATTTTAGCTAGGCTTTGAGGATGGGTAGGATTTCAACTGGGAGAGATGCTGAAGGTGGCATTGTTTCACAGAGAACCAAATATATGTGGGGAACAGTGAATAATAATCTTATTCAGATGGAACAGAATATAAAGTGAGTAGCTGGCGCTAAAGCTAGAGAAGTAGATGGTAACCAACTAGTTGGGTGGGGCTTCAAGGTAGGCTAATGAATTTAGACTTCATTTAATAAGCAACAGAAAGCTACTGAAAGTTTTGGGAGTGGGGGAGTGGCATGAACAGAGCTGTGCATTAGAAGCATAATCTGACAGGGTTGTTAAGATAGCCTGGAGAAAGAACAGATCATTCTGGAAAGAGTAGGTAATGAACACAAGCAGGGCCTACAAATTTTGCTATAACCCCATAATCTAGTATCAGTTCAGAATCCCAAGACTATACCAATACTTCCATTAGACTGAGATTCCTTGTGGAAATGTCACAGGGCTATAATTGTGATACTGGGCTTATCACCACGGAAACAACTCTCCCACTAGCAAACAGGAGAATGTGATGATAAAAATTTTAATCTGCTCCCCCAAAAAATTATTTGTAAGGATATATCTTCCATGGCCCTCCATTTTCTACTGAATGAGCCTCAAACTCCTGAAATTGGTATTCAAGGTCATTAACAATCTGTTCCAAATATACCCTTGTGCTTTATCACTCACCATCCCCTCTTTCACTACAAGGTCACCTCCATAAAGCCTTCCTTGATTCACCTATGGTCAGAAATGATAGCTCCCTCCTGCATGCTCATAATATTTTGTTTATAATTCTCAGGTGGCACTGTCTACATATCACTATGTATCTCAGTTACTGGGACACACTTCCTTACCATTCTTAACTTAGAAAATAGTGAACATCTGTATAGTACTCTAAGTTTTACAACATGCCTCATTTATATGTATTACCTCATTTGATTATCATATAACCTTATGAGGTAGGTACTATAATTATCTTCTTTTTACAGACGAGGAAACTGAGGCCAGGAGAGGTTAAGTAATTTGCCAAAGGACTCACCACTAGTAAATGTGGCAGGTGTGTGAAGCAGGATTTGAAGGTCTTGCCTTGAGGAAAGTGACCACATCTTATTCACCTCTGGGTACCTTGCCTAAAAGTAGGTTTTCCATAAGTGTCTGTTGAATAAATGCCCCAGAAATGCTAGCTAAAACCTGAACCAAATGAATATATTCATTTCCACTGGATTTTCTTCAACAGAATCTTTCTTTATGAAACAAAGCAACTGACTTATCTTACCAAAACTGCTTTATATGCCTTTATTCTGTGGGTAATATTGAGGCCTTTGCAAGTAAACCTCAGGCACAGGATCCCATGACTCGCAAGATGATTTGCCAGTGACTTCAACTGAGGAAAATTCATATCTCCTGAGGCTCCATGGGTAAGAATCACTGCGTATATTAACACCTGGTCAGTTAATATCTTGTCAGGGACAGAACAAACAGCATCTAGGTTCTTATTTCCAAATGGTATTTTCACTTGAACCTACAAAGGAATAGACCAAATGGAGAAATAATTACTCCTTACCCTGAGTAACAGTAGTCAGATTGTTTAGCTCTGAGAGATAGCCCGGCATCTGCCACAGGGTTACAATGCCTGGTCTCAAGAGAGAACAAGATATAAACAAGTAAGATTATTGTTGGAGGTTGAAACTGGAAGGAAAAGATGGCCTGAAGTTAAACATCTTAGAAAAAAGAAGAGAGAAATTCAATAATCCAGAAATAAAGTAAATGAATGGACACATGCATTACCTCTGTATAATTACTCATGTTCAGGATCAATTTAGAAACTCAGCATGAATTTCTTTGAAGCAAACACCTCTGACCTGCAATCAGAAAAAAATACTGAGGAGAATGACCACTTTGAACAGCAAAGACAAACATGCTAAAAGCCACTTGCCACTCTGAATTGATTTTGACCACAGTGGATGGTAAGTATTGAAGGTTCTTTTCATCATTTCTCATGGTTCCCATGGATACTCTTCATTGGTTTTATGACCAAGGGGGAGTAAGAGAGTAATAAATAGAGCAGAGTATGACACCAAGCAACATGGCACAGTGGGAAAAAGTTGATTTTTGCTAGTGACCTTCAACCTGTGGAACCCTGATCGCCTCATTTTTTGGAACTTCTTCCCATAACAATGATGATGATGATGATGATGATGATGATGATGATAACGATGATAGCTAGCACTGACATAGAGAGGGAGACACCATTATCTTCATTTTACAGAGGACAAAAATGAGGTCCAGAGAAGTTAAATGGCTTATCTAGGGTCACACAACTAATAATGTCTGAGGGAAGATTTGAAACTCAGGTCTTCCTTTATTGCCAGTCCAGAAATCTATCCACAACTCTACCAAGCTGCCAGTAAAATGAGGGAATTGACCTATGCTGTCTTGAAAAGCCAACATGGAAGTCTGGATCAAATGGGCTAGCTGGGAGAGGCTGCTTCCTCTCCAAAAGAGGAAGTCGAATCCCTGAGGAGTCTGAAAAGGTCTTTCAACAAGAACCTTGGACTGTGGTGAAAACTCAACTGTCAGTCCTAAGACAAATGTAATGAACTCCACTAAACTAGTGTTGGAAGAGAGAATCCTGCATCAGTGGTTCCACCTTACCATTACGGAATCAGAGGCCTAGAGATGGAAAAGGACCTTAGATGCAATTAGTCTAATCACCTATTATAGTTAAGGCAAGTGAAACCCTATGAGGTTAAGTAATATGTCCAAACTCATACAGGTCATACATTATCAGTGGAAGATTTTTTATTACATCCTCTGAATACAGAGCCATGCTCTTTCCACTGTAAAGCACAAGATACTATTTTGGGAAGGCCACGCCTGGAATGTATTCCTTCCCCATTTCTGACCTTCAGAATCCTGCACTTTCTACTTCTCAGAAATTTGATGCATTAAGAATCTTAATTTATAGAAGGCACTACACTCAACCAGAGCATTCACAGATGAAGAAGATGGGGTCTCTTATCTCAAAAAACTTCAAGCCACCTCCTCCAGGAAGTCTTTTCTGAATAACCCCTTGCCTTGGCTAAAATTACTTCTTCTTCCTCAAGTTTTCCTTACAGAGAGCATGTCAACTGGATCCCTTTGGCCCGATCACTCCCAACCTTATATTATACTTGCCTACATCCTACCTCACAAAAGAACATAAGCTCTTTAAGATAAAAAACCATGGCATTTAAAAAAAAAATCTTAGCATTCCCACCAGTTACATAGGTGCCTTGAATGGAGTAGATATTTGATAAATGTTTGCTGAATTGAAATGGACAAGATTCTCAAAATCATTCATCCCAGACACAGACAACCCCAAAGCAGGGCTACAGTATCCTACCATTATTCAGAGATAGTTCTCTTCAATTTTTTCATTACTATCTTACTTGTCAAAAACTTCCATTGTTCGTACTATAACCACTACCAGGGACTCTACTATTCCCTGGCTGAACTAGCCCTTCTTACCTTTTCTAGAGATTTAAACCTTTCTTTTCTCCTGCGTTTCCCCCCAACCTTTGAGAACTTAGCATTTGTTGTGGCAACGGTTAGAAGAAACATTCTAGAACATTTCAGGAGCAGTATTAACTGTAGGCAGGCAATGACAGTCTATATAGTCTTTAGGTCATCGGCACAGGTCTTGTCCTGTTGGCACAAAGTTAACATAGCTGTTCACACAATTAGCCAATAAACATGGAGACAGACCATGAAGACCAACCCTTTCATTTTAGAGAAGGAAAACTGAGCTTTAGAACAGAGATGTGACATGTCCAAGGTCACACATAGAAAAGGGCAGCTAGATGGCACAGAGGGCAGATCACTGGTCCTAAAGTCGGGAAACCTCATCTTCGTGAGTTCAAAGCCGGTCTCAGACACTTACTAGCTGTGTGACTCTGGGCAAACTATTTGCTTCAGTTTCCTCATCTATAAAATGAGCTGGAGAAGGAAATGGCCTACCACTTCAGTATCTTTGCCAAGAAAACCCCCAATAAAGTCAACTGAAATGACTCATCAACACACAAAGAAAATAAAAGGGAAAAAAAAGGTCAGAATGTAGTCAACAAGCATTCATTAAGAACTAAGCGATGGGCCATGCTAGATGCTAAGAACACACCAAAAGGTAAAAATAGTCTCTGCCCTCAAGTACCTTAACATTCACAAGGAGAAAACAACCTCCCTTCTACAAATACACATACAGGAGAAGGAACACAGCAATCTCACTAAGTTTCTCCCTTGATGAGGTGGGGCCAAAATAGTAGAGTAAAGGTAGGGACTCACCTGACCTCTCCCAAATTCCCCTCCAAACAAATTTAAAATAACACCTCAAATAGAATTCTCAACTAGAACTCCAGAGTGGGAAAACCAACCAAAGGTTGGGGTGAAATAATTTTCCAGCCCAAGACAACTTGAGAGATTGGCAGGAAAGTCCTGTTCCCAATATGGGAGTGGCAAGTGGGTCTGCAGTGCAGTGTGGTGCTTGGCCATGCCCTGGCAAGCCAGCATCTGGCCTTGGAGGCGGCTGCATAAGGCAGCTATAGCTTCTGGAGCTCTCAACCCACACAGAATAAAGGGGTAGACAACTGGTCAAAAGGAGATTACAGGAGATTCTTTGTTGGTGCTGGGTAGTTACAGGGCTCTGTTGCATTGCTCATACACAATGCCAGCTCACAATCCCAGAGCAAAAAAGAAGAGCTAGCTCACTAGTGCTTGCTTCTGCAGGCAAGCAGGGGCCCTGGTCACCGTCTGAGGGCAGAGAAAAACCACTTGTGGTCACTTATAAAGGACCAGAGGCCCTAGTGTCAGGACTACGGCAGAAAAAAGCACCAGCTTTTGCAACTACAGGAGAGCCGGGGCCCGAGTCACATTTCTAGGGACATAAGAAGCGACAGTATTTATGGCCACAAGAGAGTAGGAGTCCTGGTCAGAAGTCCTGAATGAAGAAGAGTGCTTTTGGTTGCTCACAGACCAAAGCGCAGGCCAGGAGAACATTGGCCACACTTTTCCTCAGATCATAATTATCTTGGAAGAACTGAAAACTTACAGACCCCCAGAACTAGCTCTGAAAACAGAAGTACACAACAACCTGAAATATGGGACAGTATCCCCGCCAACCTGGAAGTGGAGCATAAAAATGTAAAGTTTTAAGTCAAGAAGTAGTACAGAAAAACGAGCAAACAACAAAAAAAAGCATCTGACCATAGGAAGTTGCTGTGGTGACAGGGAATATCAAGGCACAAACTCAAGAGAAGACAAGTCAAAATAGATACATGCAAAGCTTCAGAGAAAAATGTGAATTGAACATTAGTCCAAAAAGAATTCCTAGAAGAGTTCAAAAAGGATTTTAAAAATCAAGTAAGAGAAAAAGAGAAAAAAATTGGGGGGAGGGAATGAGAGTGATGCAAGAAAACTATGAAAAGAAAGGCAACAACTTGGCACAAGAAATACAGAAAAATACTGAAGAAAATAATACCTTAAAAAACAGAATTGGCCAAATCGTAAAAGAGGCACAAAAATCCACTGAAGAAAAGATCTCCTTAAAAAGTTGAATTGGCCAAATGAAAAAAAAAAGATAAAAAAGCTCACTGAAGAAAATAATTCCCTAACAATTAGAATTGGGCAAGTAAAAGCTAATGTTTTCATGAGACATCATGGGAAAAAAAAAATCAAAAGAACGAAAAAAATAGAACATGTCAATTTTCTCATCTCATTAGAAAAACAACTGATCTGGAAAATACATTGAGGAGAGATAATTTAAGAATTATTAGATGCCCTGAAAGCCACGATCAAAAAAAGAGGCTAGATATCATATTTCAAGAAATTATCAAGGAAAACTGCCCAGATATCCTAGAACTACAGAGTAAAACATACGTTGAAAGAATCCACCAGTTAACTTCTGAAAGAGATACCAAGAAAATAGTGTGGCAGAAACTAGGTATAAACCAACATCTCCCACTGTATATCAAGATAAAGTCAAAAGAGTGACACAAATGGCAATACCATAAGCAAATTAGGAGAGCAAAAAAATGGTTTACCTGCCAGATCTATGGAGATGGGAAAAATTTATGACCATACAAGAGATAGAGAGCATTATGAAATACAAAATGGATAATTTTAATTACATTAAATTAAAAAGGTTTTGCACAAACAAAACCAATGCAACCAAGATTAGAAGGAAAGCAAAAAGCTAGGAAACGATTTTTTACAGCAAGTGTTTCTGATAAAGGCCTCATTTCTCAAAGATATAAAGAACTAAGCCAAATTTATGAGGATACAAGACATTCCTCAACTGAGAAATGGTCTAAGGACATGAACAGGCAGTTTTCAGATGATGAAATTAAAACTAATCTCTAGGCGTATGAAGAAGTGCTCTAAATCACTTTTGATTAGAAAAATGCAAATTAAAACAACTCTGAGGTACCACATCACACCTATTAGATTGGCTAATATGACAGAAAAGGAAAATGATAAATGCTGGAGAAGATATAGGAAAATTGGAACACTAGTGCATTATTGGTGGAGTTGTAAACTGATCCAACCATCCTGGAGAGCAATTTGAAACCATGCCACAAGTGCTATAAAACTGTGCATCCCCTTTAACCCAGCAATACCACTTCTAGGTCTACCTCCCAAAGAGATCATAAAAGTGGGAAAGGGACCTATATGTCCAAAAATATTTACAGCAACTCTTTTCGTGGTAGCAAATTGGAAATTGAGGGGATGCCCACCAATTAGGGAATGCTTGAACAAGTTCTTATGAATATAATGGAATATTATTGTGCAAAAAGAAATGATAAGCAGGCAGATTTCAGAAAAATCTGGA